CACAAATGGCTTTTCTTCCCCTCCTCCCAAAGCTGTTTTGAAAACTATTTCCCTCACCTTATTGCAATTAAAGCTAAGCTACATTCTTGTTTCCAGAGTGGAACATTTTTAAGGCATTGCCTTCTTATATCTTTAGGTTGTTACAAGTCTGGGCATAGGTAGCAGTAATTTTTTAACCACAGAGATACTCTTTACCTGTGGAACACCTGAGAAGGAGACCTCTAACTTGACTTCTGTTATCTGCTCTATAGGCAACAAGAAAATCTAACTCCCTGTACTATAAAACCAGGCCATTGATTCTTTGGGTTGGTTGCTGAGCCTCTAATTTGTAAAGAAGTAATCTGAGAAGCCTGGAGTTTGTGTATATGGACAGTTCTCTTCTAGCTTGAATTCTGTAACCTTTGAGCAAAGGGTCCTTTCTCTCTTGGTATATCCACCTCCTTACCTGGTGCTCAGAGCCTGTAGGTGATCTGCAAATGGCTGTTAAATAAATAAATTATAAATCCAGGTTAGTTATTTTATCAGTCTTAAAACAAGACATGGCCATGTTCAGCATGAAACGAGGAACAAGAAGTGTCTTGTTTTCGCTTTTGTTTTGTTTTCACTCAACCTCTCTAATGTCTTGAAATGGTTATGACCTGTAAGGACAGAAGATCATGCATCAGTCTGATTTTCCTTTGCCTCTAAAAGTTGTTGACTAGATGGCGTTTTCTCTTCAGTTTTTCCCTAGTCAGTTTGATTGTGGCTGAGAAGAGTGAGGGCTCTTTGCCCCTGACACATGAGCGTGTACAGTCAAAAATACGTTGGTTTCCAACCTAGAACCTATTATATGGAGTGAAGTAAGCCAGAAAGAGAAAGATAAATATCATATTCTAATGCATACATAATCTAGAAAAATGGTACTGAAGAATTTACTTACAGGGCAGCAGTGGAGAAACAGACATAGCGGATAGACTTGTGGACGGACTTGGGGAGAGGGGAGGAGAGGGTGAGATGTATGGGAAGAGTAACCTGGAAACTCACATTACCATGTGTAAAATAGATAGCCAAGGGGAATTTGCTGTATGGCTAAGGAAACTCAAACAGGGGCTGTGTATCAACCTATAGGGGTGGGATGGGGAGGGAGATGGGAGAGTTCAAAAGGGAGGGGATATATGTATTCCTGTGGCTGATTCATGTTGAGGTTTGACAGAAAACAACAAAATTCTGTAATGCAATTATGCTTCAATAAAAAGTAAATTAAAAAATACCTTGGTGTATAGGTGAGTTTTAGGGTTTTGTTCTCTTGAAGTTCTTTGCTCCAAATATTTAACTGTTACTGGAAAAATCAATCCTTCCAGATTATTTCCATGCTCATAAATCTACATACAGCAATGCCTCTTACCTTGGCTGAAGGTTGGAATCACTCGGGAGCTTTAAAATATATTGCTGCCTGGATCCCACTCTAGCCACCCTGATTGAATTGGCCTGGGACATGGCTTTGGTACAGGAGTTTTAACATTTTTCCAGTTGATTCTAATGTTCAAGCCAAGGTTGAAAACTACTCATGTAGAGCATTATTTTTAAATACTTAAAAGGCTAGAACTCTAAATATGGCATGAAACATTTTATATCAATACTGCTATTTTTAAGAATTTTTTATGTTAAAATACTCATGACTATCACTGAACTGCATAGAAAAAAATGTTTTTCCAGTGCACTTGATTAACTTGTCATTAAAAATGCATATATTTAGACCCTACCGTAGAGATTCTGATTCAGTAAAGTTGCGCTAAGTCCAAAATCAGCATTTTTAAGTGCGCCCCACTTGATTCCTGTGTTTGCTGAACTTGATGACGTACTGCCTCAAAAAGTAATCTGAATAAATTAAGACAAGGTAGTTCTGGACAACCTTAGGCTCATGCCACTTGGTGATCTTGTGATCCTGTGTCATAGAAGAGTAAGACTTCAAAGTACAGAGAAAATATAGATTTTCTTTTTCCCTTTAACTTTTGAACTGTTTGGGGAATGCAAATTACATATTGACAACAGTAAGAATTTTCCCCCAAAAGTGCATGCATGAACGAATCATCAGTACATTCATACATTTAGTGATATAAATGCATTAGTATACAATTCAACCCTATGTAAAAAGATAAAGATATTAACTTAAATATATTAACTCTACTTCAAGTTTTAAAAAAAGATATGAAAAAATTCAAGACTGCTTCCATGTTAAAAATACATACACATCTGGAATACCTTTCAATATAGTCTTAAGAAAAACAGTCCTTGGACCACAAATGTTTTAAAGGAATAGGAAAAATTTTAAGGCATCTAGTTATGTTGCACAAATTTAAGAATACTCAGGATAACAAAGTCTTTGAGCTTTAGGACAAAGTACACATTTTAGTTTAAGGCCGAAAGACTCCTCTATCTAGCTTTAACTTCCTTGGGAATTTAAGGAAAAGAAAATGAATTACTGAAACTGGAACTACATCAAAATGTCAAGTTAACACATTTTGGCTTGTAATGGTGCCAAAGGATCTAATGCTTGAATGATGAGGGCCTTAGCTTTCCAAATCATTTTAAAGATAATTTCATTACCAGGATGCTAGAGCTTTCATTTTATTTTTTTCTTAGCTCTTTTCTATTTCTGTTTTAACCCATGCAAGGCTAACCAAGACCTGATAAGATCACATTGCAATTTATTGAAAAACTTCCAAAACAAAACAAAAGACTGCAAAGAAAAATGTCAACACAGAAGACTACAAATCAAGAAAAAAAAATTAACAATTTTCTCATGATAGTCAGTGATGCATTTAGTTTTCTCTAAACTTTTGTTAGGTTTTTGAAGTTGAATAACTTACGTTATCTGAGTATTAGAACCAAGGAAGAACAGCAGTGGACTGTGGTTGCTGTTGTTGTTAGGTTTTTCTTACAAATTTTTCTGATTAGTTCTTTTCCTCCTAGTATGTGTTCCGTGCTCAGTAACTTTTCCATGATTTTCACACCCAATTCCTAGCCAGAGAGATGGGCTTATAACCTGGGTGATCTAACCATAGTACCCAGGTACAGAACAGTTGGTCCAAAGGTTGGTTCCATGACCCAAGCTATGCTCATCAGTGTCCACTCTAGTTCTTAACGTTAAGAGTGGGAGAAGGGGCCCAGACTCTGGGGTCAGGGCATGGAAAAGATGTAATAAGCCAGTGGGAGGCTGTCTTTCTCAACATATGGAGAAAGCCTGTCTACAGTAGCAGAGGATGAAGCAGAAAGAGAGTGGAAATTAGGGGTAAGCAAAGAGAATCCTAGGGCATTGAATCTTGGTTCTATTTCTTGAAGCCTTGGTTTCTGCAGCTTTTCTATGCTGCTATGAGCACTGCTCTAGCATCATTTCTTGCTACACAAACTAGTAAGTTCCCTTTTTGGCTTAAGCCATTTTGAATTGGGTTTTGAACATTTGCAACTAAAATTCTAACACAGAATATAAGATCAATTAATCCCACTTATTGTACAGACAAGAAAACTGAGATTCATTTGTGCAAGGCCACACATCATGACTGAATTGCTTTTCTGGCTCTTCAGTCTCCTGGCATGCTGTCCCTCAAGGAAAAGCGGAAACTTTGTTAGGGGAGTCTGTTTTTAATAACCCTCGACACATAAGCAGGGCTTCCTAGGTGGCACTAGTGGTAAAGAACCTGCCTGCCAATGTAGGAGACATAAGAGACATAGGTTTTATTCCTGGCTCAGGAAAATCCCCTGGAGAAGCTCATGGCAACCCACTGCAGCGTGCTTGCCTGGAGAATCCCATGGACAGAGGAGCCTGGTGGGCTACAGTCCATGGGGTCACAGAATTGGACATGACTGAAACAACTTAGCACAACACAGCCAGTCTCAAGTAGACTAGTGAGTGACTAGTTTTGAGGACTTTGAGAACAGAGAATTCAAGGTTCCCAGAATTTGGGGCTCCTGCTCTGTAGCTGAGTAGCTGCATTGATTCTTGCTCCACAGAGAGGCTAGCTATAGAATCAAGCCCCCAAAGATGCAATTTCCACATTCCCTTCAAGAGCTCAGTTTGTGACACCTTGAATGATCTAAGGAGTTGAGTATGATTAAAAACAACAACAACAGAAAACCCCACTTGGTTACAACATTTTTTATAACTGTTTTACAAGTTGTCAGTATCAAAACACTAAATTCCCAGTAGTAATCTGCAATCTACTATGCAAAGAACATACAGTGAAAACCTTTAAGAAAAACCCATATGTGTCCACCTGATGATAGGCTAAATAAACTGTAAAACCCTTAGACACTGCAGACTACTGGGGCAGATTGAATAACTGTCTTTTTGTCATAACCTCATATACCTTTGGGCTTCCTAGGTGGCACTAGTGGTAAAGAATCCACCTGCCAATGTAGGAGACACAGGTTCGATCCCTGGGTCAGAAAGATCCCCCAGAGGAGAAAATGGCCACCTCCTCCAGCATTCTTGCCTGGAAAATTCCATGGACAGAGGAGCCTGGTGGGCTACAGTCTATGGGGCTGCAGAGTCAGACATGACTGAGCGACTTATGTCCATTGAGTCAGTGATGCCATCCAACCATTTCATCCTCTGTCATTCCCTTCTCCTCCCACCTTCAATCTTTCCCAGCATCAGGGTCTTTTCTAATGAGTCAGCTCTTCGCATCAGGTGGCCAAAGTATTGGAGTTTCAGCTTCAGCATCAGTCCTTCCAATGAATATTCAGGACCAATTTCCTTTAGGATTGACTGGTTGGATCTCCTTGCAGTCCAAGAGACTTTATTGGGACTCAAACTAAAATTTTAAAATTGAGCGCAAATGGTAACTTTTATGTTTAATTGGGACTCAAACTAAAATTTTAAAATTGAGCTCAAATGGTAACTTTTATGTTTAATTTGTACCACAGATGGACTGAACTTGGTATTTTCATCTGCAAGAATGTTTAATTAAACCTTTAATTTTCTCCTAAAAGGGTAATGAAATGAACAAAACAATCAGTGATCAGATTTAGAAATTTATTTACAAAAGTTAATTATTTTTGCTTTTAAAAAACAACTATTCAATTCATGAAGAATAACCAAAAACAAATCTCATCAAAATGTATTACAATAGTCTTTCACAGAATCAATAGCTTTTTTAAAAACCACCAGTGAATACTTTAATGTAAAACCACAGTGTAAAAAATAGAAACTTTAATTCTAGTGACTAGACTGAAAGCAGATAAATAATCTTCAAAGGGAAAAAATAACTTGAGGGGAAAAAAAACAGTGTAACATGTGTAAAGCCGGAAATTTAAATATCAGTTTAGTTCCTCATTGCTAACATGGCATTTATATCCCAGATGAGATTTCGTAATTGATCCATAATTTGCTTCAGCTGTTGATTCTTCTGTTTGAGTTTCTGCAGAAACAAAAGAATTTATCAAAAAATGTTTCATGAAATACAGACCATGAAGATATAAGATTAAAATGTCATAAGTCAGAACTTTAATGAACTAGACAGAAATTAAGCTAAACACTTCCTTAAGGCATAGTAGGAGTAGGAAATGGCAACCCACTCCAGTATTCTTGCCTGGAAAATTCCATGAACAGAGGAGCCTGGTGGGCTATAGTCTGTGGGGTCCCAAAGTGTCGGACACAACTGAGGGACTAAGCGTGCACTTCCTTAAGGCAGAAGGTCTCAGTACTTTTCTGGCTGCAAACATCCACTGAAAGGCATAATGACTTCTAATTCAGCCTACAGAGCCTATGGCTCCAGCCCCTACCTCCTTTTCCTCCTCCACTCGAACCACCAAAGAAAATAAGCTAAATATTCCATTATAAAACCTAAGCATATAGGTTTCCACAAGGCAGTGTAGCTTAATGGTTAAGAACACAAGCCCTAAAGCCTGGATTCTCTGGGTTTACGCTCAGCTCCTTCACTAAGTAAATATTACTTAATTTCTCTGTGCGTCAGCTTCCACAACACAAAAATGGAGATAATAACTGAACCTATCTCATAAGGGTTGTTATAAAAAGTAAAAGATCTGATTCACGTCAAGTGTTAGCAGTGCACCTGGCATACAAGTAAGTGAAAGAGAGTGAAAAGTCAAAGTGTTAGTTGCTCAGTTGTGTCGGACTCTTTGAGACCCCACAGACAATAGCCCGCCAGGCTCCTGTGTCCATGTGATTCTCCACGCAAGAATACTGGGGTGGGTAGACATAAGCATTCAACAAATGTTACTGGTAGGCACAGAACATAAACTGTCAACAGAGAATATAAAGTATGATAAAAATGCAACTGATCTTTCAAACATGTGGCAGAAGTCACTAATTTCTCTCAGCATGAAGTGCAATCTACTTCTACTTCTGAAAAGAGGATGCCACAGCCCTGATAGAATCTTCTTCATAACAGATTTGCTGGATGCCCTGAGTGCACATGGCATGTGTCTGTTATTTCCAGATCTGGCTCTCTACCTGACCACAGTTTATAAACTTCTTATTAAGAATCTTTCCTTCAAATCATATGTAGTAAATGTCTGTGTAGATAAAACAAGATCAGAACAGAGAATTTCTTAAGTGTTCACGAGTTATTATAATAATCATTACTGTTAAGTGACCTCTTGGAAACATTACGTTTGGAAGTAATACATTTAGTTAGATAATTTTAAAGACACTATATTAAAATACCTCCAGATCAAGTCGTGCATGTTCATTATAAAGAGACCTAGAAATCTTAACTTTGACTTATTAAAGAGCAAGCTGAGATTAAATAAATTGTTCATATTCTATCTAGAGTTAGAGAGGTAACAGGAGGAAAGAAGCCAAAAGGAAGGAGGAAGGAATTCCTATTGGTATTTAACTTCCTGAAAGGCCAAGTTTGGTGAAAGAAGCTTAGTGGTCACATTTTCAGTGTTCATTAAGAAGTAACTGGAAGTAATAAAATTATATTAATGAGTGGTTAAAAAAGACTTTCAAATCAGTATCAAAACAGAGGTTACAGATGGCTCCCACAATGGTTTCATCAATGGAATAAATGCTACTTTCAAGAATACTCACTTGGAAATATAAATTCTGATATTAAAAAATTTAGCTTCACTAACTCAAAAAATAAAGAGAACTAAAAAAAGGGAGGATATTTTCAAGGTAATATTCAACTCTAGGGAACAGTAAAAAGTTTTTATTTAAAGAATGCCATATTATAAGGCATTAGGATAGTTTGTCTCAAAGAGACCACTAAGTTTTAAATTTAAAAAAATTAGCATACAACTAAAAACTACCTGGGGCCAAAACATCATGAAAATATCAACACCAAAGCTGACAGCTATGCTTATTAGTGGTTAAACTGTAAATAAATTTTCATGACATGATACAGGATTTAATATATACAATCTTGCCAAGGACTGATTTTAACAGAGGTTGACAGCTGCTATTATCAAAATCCATCAGCTGTGCCTAATTAGTTACAATAACAGGTGAATGTGTAAGCAGAGTACTTAAAAAAATGTTTATGCTAAGTAATACTATGTAATTTAATATTCATCCAAAGGCTGTGACAGTTGATTAAAACAGTCTGTCCTCCGTATCCATGGTTCTGTGTCTGCAGATTCAGTCAGCTGAAGATTGTGTAGTACTGTAGTATTTTATTGAAAAAAATCTGCATGTAAGTGGACCCACACTATCCAAACCTGTGTTGTTCAAGGGGCAACTGTGGTTGAAAAATCAAACCAATTAATTTCAACTTTTAATAGCATCTGTGTAATTATGTAATTAAATTGTTGTGTAGTCGCTCAGTCAAGTCTGACTCTTTGGTGACCCTCCTCTGTCCATGGGATTCCCCAGGCAGGAATACTAGAGTGGGTTGCTATTTCCTTCTCCAGGGGATCTTCTCAACCCAGGGACTGACCCCGAATCTCCTACATTGGCTGGAAGATTCTTTACCACTAAGCCACCAGGGAAGCCCGTAGACCAACATTTTCCCATCTGAAGGTGGTTATTTAAAATAAACATTTTTCACAGAAACACTCAGGTATGTGTGCCATTAAGACAGAAAAATATATCAGTTGATCATGAGTTTACTCAGTGTTTTATAATTTTTCAATTATATTTTAATCTTATATTCCAGAGGGGAGATACAAAATCTGAAGAAGTAGAGGAAAGGGAAAAAGAATTCGTAGCACTAATTATACATAAGATAACTTGGTTAACAGGATATGTATTATGTTTAATTCACATTTATGATGCTTTATTTAAGAAATGAGTTAAAAACCTCTTTGGGTCAAAAAATCTACTTTGGTTTTTAGCTGTTAACTTTATTCTCTTTTGCCTTTTTAAGGGGAATTTCAATTTGAGTTAAACAAATCTTACGCCTCTCCCCTTAAAAAAAAAAATATATATATATATATATTTTCAAATTTTAAACTTTTTAGGATGGACCTAGAGAGTGTCATTCAGAGTGAAGTAAGCCCCTCCCTTTTTGTTTTTGTCTCTGTTTATCACTTAGTTCTTCAGTCTTTCCTGAAATTAGACTAACAATTTCCAGGAAGTAAGAGAGAGCCACAAGGCCAATCAAATGAATACTTCTCCTGCCACTCAAGAGAAGATACCTTCTCTCTAAATTATCTTCAAAATTTTTTCCAATGGAAATACAGGGCTAAGCTTTAAATCTGTTTAATTTAAAACATTTAATGGATTCTTTCCTTTTTGTAATAATCTTCAGTTCAATACCATGTTAACTGAAACAAGTTTTACCCCAAAGCCAGAGGCACATACAACAGCAAATTCAACAGATTCAAATGGTTTAATCAAAATCAAAGAACATTCTCAAATGCCTGAAGTAGACATGGGAACAGAATTTAAAATATGGGCTTTTCCTTCAGAAATACTATTTTGTGTACTGAAATAAACTTACCACAGATAAACACTGTGGACTAAACACGTGTTTCTTTTTTTTTCTCAAACCCAAATAAAATGGCAGGGGGGGACTGCAAAGGCTATAAATTAACTTGGAGAAAAATGATCAGAAAGGAGACAACAGCAGATGCCAGGTGGCACATTTTAAGGTGGGGCATAGAAGGGGAATAGTAAATGAGAGGAATGTTAAATGGTATGGGAGGAAACCACTGTACCACCCAGAAGGATGCCACTAAGAATGGCTGATCCTCCATGGAGAACTAGAGGCAAGTGCCACGGCAAAGTCTGCTGTGAGGCCTGGGGACCGAAGCTGGAGGGGAAGAGCTACAGAAGCAAGTGAGAGCCTAGGTGCTCATTCCTACTTCTCACCAAAACGGGACTGAGTCCCCTCTCCAGAGTTCCATACCCACTCCCCCTTTCAGGGAACCAGAAGGTTTGTTTCTTATGAACTGAATAGCTGGGATTTGGAGATTGAGTGCCACCAGCAGAGCAGAAGGCAAGAAGACAAGAGGCTCTCCCTCTGTGTAGGACACTGGAAGATTCTGAACAGCCCTAAAGAAAAAAATCTCAGCAAATGATCCTTGGTCCCCAAAGAAAAAAGCCAGCTTGTTTTCAATCTTGCTATGATGAAAGCCAACTCACAAAGCCTATGATTAGTGTCTTAGTGCCTCACTCCTAAATAGAAATGGCTCATGTTTAAGCATCAGATGCTCCACAGATCTCTGATCCTCCATCTACAAAGACAACAAAACATAATAGGAGTTGACAAACTATGGCACATGACCTGTTTTTGTAAGGCCTGTGAACTAAGGATGGTTTTTACATCAGAACAAGGACCACCATGTCTCACAAAGCCTAAAAATATTTATAACCATGCTCTTTAAAATCTACCAAATGCCATATGAGAAGATTATGGAAGAACACCTTCTAATTTCTGAGGGAAATTAATTTATAACATATAATTTTATATCCAGCCAAACAATCAACTGGACAGATACACAAAGACTAAAAACTTAAGTCCCTGCATTTCTCCTGAAGGAGCCACTGATGTATGAACCTTACAAACAAGGGAGGAAACAAACCAAGAAACAGGAAGATGGGAGACTAAGGAGATAGTAAAATTAACTGAGAGGTGAAGGAAAGGCCCAGGACAGTAGGTGAATACCAGGTTTAGTAAGCATTCAATTCAGACCTAGCAAGATGGTCCTAGCAAGACAGAAGACTCTGGGGGCGGTGGGGTGGGGCGGTGGAATGGGGGGAACAAACCTATAAGTCATCTGATAATTTGATGCTGGAAAGTTGGAAAACAGTACTGAGCTGCTCCCACAGATGCAAAAGAACTAATCAAAATTTTTCAAAATTACAGAACTATTAACTATAGGAAAACAAAAAATTGTTCAAGGAAATATAACTCTGGTTTCCTATGTGGTTTAGCAATAAACAGTATCTATGTGCCATAATAATATGAACACAGAATATTTACTGAATCCCAATTATGACATAACCACAATGAAAGAATTGAGGGGAAGGAAAGAGGTAGGTGGGTCCTAGACAGAGACCATAAAGAGACCTACATCGTCATGTGGAGAAATACTTTTACATATCAAAAGCTTTGTATCAATTATATCCTTATCTTAAAATTCACAAAATTCTAGCTAGTAGAGTTTTTTGATTACACACTGTCAAGGAACTACTATATTCTGATTATTTGAAAGGTCATTTAAAAAAAAATCAAGAATAGGCCATTTCAAAACCATATTAGAAAAAGGGAGAAACTTAGAGAAATAGGAAGGGAAATGAAACTTATCTTTAGAGAAATGATCTCATTCTGAAGCTTTTCTCTCCCCCGCCCCACCAAAATATCATATATCTTCTAGGTTAGAGAACAAACTACATTTAAGTCACATGTAGCATTCTGAAATCAAAGTTATCATCACAATGGTGTTTTATTTACATGTACATTTCATTTTATAACATCCTTACTACAGAGAAAAATAATAGAACACATCCACTGTGAATTAATATATAAGATTATCAACTGAAACATATATAACACTTCTTAATATACAGATGTCTCATCTCTCTGGACTACCAAACACCACTTACTCTTCAAGATCTAACTTAAAAGTTTCCCCTCCTAATCCCTACTGTAAATTCTTTATGCTTATTACTGTCATTTTGCTGAAAATATTCTTAATGTATAGTTCACCTCATAAACTTTTCTTAAATGTTATTTTAGAAAAATCTATCTTTTTTTTCTGAGTTTTGATGTATATTTTTCTTTTAGTTTTCTAATATTTTGTTTTACAAGTCTTATTTTCAACTCTGAAATTCATTTTGACACATGGTGTAATGTAAAAACTAGCTAAATTTTCCCCAAAATGTCTATTTTTAAAGACTAATTTTCCACATAATCCCTCTTATGTAATATTAAATTCTCATATATTACTATAATAGTAAGACAGTTTTTCTGAATATTTCACTAATCTGTCTATATAATCATAAGGGATTTGATTTAGGTCATAACTGAATGGTCTAGTGGTTTTCCCTACTTTCTTCAATTTAAGTCTGAATTTGGGAATAAGGAGTTCATGATCTGAGTCACAGTCAACTCCCAGTCTTGTTTTTGCTGACTGTATAGAGCTTCTCCATCTTTGGCTGCAAAGAATGTAATCAGTCTGATTTCAGTATTGACCATCTGGTGATGTCCATGTGTAGTCTTCTCTTATGTTGTTGGAAGAGGGTGTGTGTTATGACCAGTGCATTCTCTTGGCACAACTCTATTAGCCTTTGCCCTGCTTCGTTCTGTACTCCAAGGCCAAATTTGCCTGTTACTCGAAGTATTTCTTGACTTCCCACCTTTGCATTCCAGTCCCCTTTAATGAAAAGGACATCTTTTTTGGGTGTTAGTTTTAGAAGGTCTTGTAGGTCTTCATAGAACCGCTCAACTTCAGCTTCTTCAGCGTTACTGGTCGGGGCACAGACTTGGATTACTGTGATAGTGAATCCCAGGCTCCTCCGTCCATGGGATTCTCCAGGCAAGAATAGTGGAGTGGGTTGCCATTTCCTTCTCTAGGGGATCTAAGAATACACAGAAGAACCATGCAAAAGAGACCTTCACGACCCAGATAACCATGATGGTGTGATCACCCACCTAGAGCCAGACATCCTGGAATGTGAAGTCAAGTGGGCCTTAGGAAGCATCACTGTGAACAAAGCTAGTGGAGGTGATGGAATTCCAGCTGAGCTATTTCAAATCCTAAAAGATGATGCTGTGAAAGTGCTGCACTCAATATGCCAGCAAATTTGGAAAATTCAGCAGTGGCCGTAGGACTGGAAAAGGTCAGTTTTCATTCCAGTCCCAAAAAAAGGCAATGCCAAAGAATGCTCAAACTACCACACAATTGTACTCATCTCACACACTAGTAAAGTAATGCTCAAAATTCTCCAAGCCAGGCTTCAGCAATACATGAACCATGAACTTCCAGATGTTCAAGCTGGATTTAGGAAAGGCAGAGGAACCAGAGATCATATTGCCAACATCTGCTGGATTATCAGAAAAGCAAGAGAGTTCCAGAAAAACATCTATTTTTGCTTTATTGACTATGCCAAAGACTTTGACTGTGAGGATNACTCTCGAGAGTCCCTTGGACTGCAAGGAGATCCAACCAGTCCATCCTAAAGGAGATCAGTCCTGGTGTTCATTGTAAGGACTGATGTTGAAGCTGAAACTCCAATACTTTGGCCACCTGATGCAAAGAGCTGACTCATTTGAAAAGACCCTGACGCTGGGAAAGATTGAAGGTGGAAGGAGAAGGGGACGATAGAGGATAAGATGGTTGAATGGCATCACTGACTCAATGGACATGGCATGCCTGGCATGCTAAAGTCCACAGGGTCACAAAGAGTCAGACACGACTGAGCAACTGAACTGAACTGAATCTGTTCTTATGCCAGTATTTCACACTTAATTATTGTTTTTATAATGTGCTTCATCTAACATTTTAATTTTTGAAGCAAAGAGTCTGTTTGTTTTATTACTTACTGGATTTTTAAATTATATGTATTTGAGTATGCTCTCAAGGAAAAAAGTTCCAATTTTTTATTTGTTTTTTCATTGGTATTGCACTAAAATCTTACTATTTTGTGCAATTTCAAGAGAATTCACATTTATGCTTGGAGTGTTACTAAGACTATTCTGGAAAGCAATTATCCTTCAATTAAATAAATAAAAAACTGAAATAATCAAGACTGGCTTTAGAGTAGTTATTGCCCATGTAAGAATGTCATGTGTTTTTTCAACTGTTCAAAATTTCTTTATGAGTCTGGCTAAGGGTTTATGAATTCTGTTTATCTTTTCAACAAACCAGCTTTTAGTTTCATTCATCTGTGCAACTGTTTTGTCTCTTTTTCATTTATTTTTGCTCTGATCTTTATCATTTCTTTTCTTTTACTAACTTTAGGTTTTATTTGATCTTTCTTTAGTTGTTTTAGTTGTAAGGTTAGGTTCTTCATTTAGGATTTTTCTTGGGAGGCGGTAGATAGGGAGTTTGGGTTGGACATATATACACTTCTATATTTAAAATGGATAACAAAAAGGACCTACTGTACAGCACATGGAATTCTGCTCAATGATATGAGGCAGCTGGAATGGGAGGGCAGTTGGGGGAGAATGGATACAGTGTAAGTCTGGCTGAGTCCCTTTGCTGTTCACCTGAAACTATCATAACATTGTTCATCAGCTGTAGTCCAATATAATATAAAAAGTTTTACCAAAAAACATCCTTTTATATATATTTTGTCTCATCTGTTACGGAAATCCTAACTACTTAATATTTGTTGTTGCAGCTGTGAATAGGATCTTATAATCTGACTGGTTTATGACATTATAGGAAAATGGTATAAATCTTTAAGCTCTTTTATCAAATACTTATTGCCTCTATTTGTTAATCAGTGAGCTGCTTTGAGCTTCATAAGCTTAACCTATAATGTTATGTATTACCTTAACAAACTTAAATTTGTATATAATAACTTCTGTTTTATAAAGTTTGTTTCACTGGCTATAATTTCTAAAATAGCCTCAAACACAGTAGTATAAGGCATCTTATTTTATTCCTGTTTTTAATATGACTGGAGAAGGAAATGGCAACCCACTCCAGTATTCTTGCCTGGAGAATCCTGTGGACAGAGGAGCCTGCTAGACTGCTGTCCATGGGGTCGCACAGAGTTGGACATGGCTGAAGCGACTTAACATGCATGCATTGGAGAAGGAAATGGCAACCCACTCAAGTATCCTTGCCTGGAGAATCCCAGGGATAGAGGAACCTGGTGGGTGGCCATCTATGGGGTCGCACAGAGCCGGACACGACTGAAGCGACTTAGCAGCAGCAGCAGCAATATGACTAGTTCTGTATTTCATTTCTATGAAAAATGTGGGCTACGAATCTGAAATAAAAAGTTTTTTTTAAAGACTATCACATTAATAATTTTAAGCATTCTTTGAGTCAGCAACATTTGAAGTCTATCAAATGTCTTTTAGATATGAGGAAAAAATTTTTTTCAATTTAGCCTACAGACCTTATATAAGTAAACTAAGTTATCCTCCTCCACCTCAGAAAACCTTTGGCTGTGATAAATTAATTAATGTCCTGATGAATTCTATTAACTAGCATTAAGAATTTTAGGAGTGAGGCAGGAGGTGGGGGCACTTATTTGTAAGTAAAGCACCAAGACTGTAGTTTTATTTTGCGTGCCATTTGTTAGCCATGCTTCTATCCCAGAATGGACTGACAACATCCCTTGTTTCCCTGTGTTTCAAGAGAACTATCTGAACATTATCTTCTGAACTTCTGAAAGTACTCAGCAATAAATTCAAGTTAGGAACTTTTGTGGGCTGAAGGGTAGGATGGGGTAGTGCTTTGATAACTCTCAATTTCTTATTTAGCTGTTGAGACATTTCACATCTCCTACTTATAAAGTATTATCATTTGCTGCTCCAAGTATGCTGTAACCTAGAGAGCTACAATTTTGCCTAGAAAAGAAAATGTAAATGTGTTGTGACAGAGTGCCTACGAGGCCTTTCTAAGAGTTTTATTGCCTGAATTCGGTGATCTTCTGACTAACCAGATGGCATTTCTGTTTACCTTTGCGTTTTGGGTTGTTCTCTAAGTAGGCTAAATTTGCCACAGAAACAACTGCAGGTAATTCTATAATTCAAATTATGTTTTTGAGTTACATAGACTCCCTTGTAATTTTTATCAATAATTCAGAAATGTAAGACATGCAGACTAGCAACTCACTTTATTGACTTCAGCAATTTCTCTCCTCTCTTCACTAGCAAAACGAGGTGGGCCAGCCCGGTCATCATTCTTTGAGCCATCTTCTTCCACATATGGAATAAGTTGCTGAGAGTGACAGACACAAGTTAAAAGTCAAACATATGACACACAATTTCCAATTATACTGGCATAGATAATGCATTCAGTTAAGATCAATTTTTATACTTTTATTACAAAAATACATTTTAATTCAAGTGATGGCCTAAAATAGAAACATTAGAAGTATATATCATTTCAATGCATTCTGTACATTTGCTTTTTTGGGTTTCTTTTGCAAAATAGTCCTTTTACCAAAATTAGTTATCACATGTAATTAAGAAATATCCTATTCAGTCAATCAGCAAATATTTAATTGGCAGACACTGGGTGAGGAGACACTGCAAAAATAATGACAAATAAGATACAAGTCCTACCCTGGAGAACTTTATGTCCATTCAGCTAGAATAAGCTTTCCTTCATCTATACTAGAAAGAAAGGAACTTCATGGACATATATTATATAATTGTGATTTACTTGCTATCAAAGTGTCTACGTAGATCTCTAGATGTCTTTTAGTTGGGAGAAAGTTTTTTTTGTAAGAGAAAAAGATTATATAGCAATGAAACTTCCAGAAGAATTATAAGTAAATATGTATGGGTTTGTGATGACATTTGTTTGATGAAACCCCTTGTAGGGTCAACAGAGACTGTCTCTTCCATCTTATATTACCAGTGCAGGAACGGGACAGAGGTAAGTAACTGGTATAACCAGTAATCAATCTGGCCAAACTTCTGTGAATTCTTGGGACAAATATAAATTTGCCTACATCCACAACTACTTTCTTCCTTTCCTCTCTCCAAATGCAGACAGTGGTCCTTCATCTCAAATACATTTAGTCTTCATTCCTGTATACTGATTCCTCTGCCCTCCTGACTTCATTATTTGTTTCCCCCAACCTTGCCTGACTGTTTTCTTCCTTTTTTATCTAAACAAGAGCTCCCATTTGGAAGGGAACAAAAAACCCAAACCACCAAACCCTCAACTCTATTCCTCCTACCACCTACTGTTTTCTTCTTTTTAGTCTAGGCTTCTTGAAAGATGGATATCCACTTGTTGGCTTCAGTTCCTTACTTCCTGTTTAATCTTCAGCTCACTGTGATCTGACTTCTGTTGCTACCTTTCCACCAAAGCTCCGACCAAATATACCAACAATTTTTCTCTAGCAAAATCTGCTGGACAGTTTTCATTCCTTATTTTCCTTGACTTTTCTGTAGCCTCTGTCAGAGTCCACCATGTTTCTGACCCTCCACATCTCTGACCACTTTTTTTCAGGCTGTATTGCAGTTTACTCTTTCTCTGTTCACCTCATACATGCTGATCACTCAAATAAGAAAGTGCTGATGACATGAAACTGTTCTTCATATGTAGTGAGAGAACATCTAACCCCACTCCCTGCCACCAGCTACCTCTGGGGGCAGATATTATCACTTGTCAATAGGAAAGGACCACCTATAAAAATAACCATATACCTGATTAACTAAAATATACCCATGATCCAAGATTAAACTTAAATATGTTTAAAAACGAGAGTGATTCTACTAAGATAATTTAAATTAATAATGGTGAAAATGGTTATAACCTTTTGTCCATAAAGAACTTACATGAAAACCACTGTTAAAGTATTTTACAATACTATTAAAATGTCTACTAAAACATCATACACTGATTTAATTAAAATGACACTGACAGCAATAATAAAAGTTGCCACAGATAATCTCCCCCAACAACAAAAATTCACTATCAGCCTGGATGCTAAAGTCTGCAAGAAATTATCACATGAAAAGACAGCACTACACAGTACTATACATATATATACACTCACACACATATGTATCTCACAATTTCATCTTTTCTAGTCAAAAGTAAAACCAGTATGATCAAACTCTGGAAATACTGTGAAAATAGAAAAAGGAAAAAAATTACAAACATCCTAAGACTCTTACATTCACCCTCCCTCGACCACTAAAACTTGCCTCCACTGGAATGGGATCCATCCCTCCGCAGTTTTCATTGCATTTATCATAGACCAATCTCAGCTTCCTGAAGAGAATAGAAAGTTGGCGAAGATGATCCTGTAGTTTTGCTAACCGGTCTTGGTATGTTCCAGTATGGTAAGTGACACCATTTGGCAGCTTCTCGGAGAAAAAAACCAAAAACATAAAGTAATGAAAATCAAGATTTTCTTTAAGCAAAGCTAAGGAACAGAAACAATCTCTGAGCAATGCATAAAAGCAAGCTGTTCTTCACAATGAATCAAGTGCAACTTTAACAGTAATACATGCTCATTTATTAATTAGCTCCTTGGCATACTGTCAAGCAGTTCTAGAAAAGACTTTGTGATAAGCTTTTGTGATAAGTTGAAATGCTTTCTGCCTCTAACTTTTGATTATATGTATACCACAGCTTTGTATTATAACTAAAAAGAATATACAATTTTAATATCACTTATGATAATGTAAAAGCAGCAAGGTGCTGAACTCAACCAGGAGCTGAATTCAAACAATTCAAAACACAATTTAAAGAAAAAGAAGAAGAAAAGGAAAAAAATGAAGATCAGGACTTTTCAGTAGAAGAAAAAGAAGAGTATGCTACCGTTGTTGCAAAAATAATCTCAAGATATGTTAACTATGATAATTAAGATGCTCTAGACATGCATTAAAACATAAAGCTGTCACAAAAAGTTTTACTTTAAAAAGAAATCAATAGCAAGGGATCTATAGTAGCAAGTCAATCTGTACTTGAACATCTTTAATAAATTATTGCAAGTAGCTGCTATGATCATAACTCTGTCTTGGATGCTTAAATATTTTTATTCAGGAATTTTACCAAAAGAAATCAAAATACATACTGAAATGACAAAAATCACAGACAAATGGAAAAACTGACTACTACTTACAACTAAATGCACATTTTGTGTATGCTGAAACTTACAAAATCTTCCTCTCTCTGTACATCTTTACAATATTTTATTCCCACCATTTGATCTGTGATATTATCCTAAAACTAGAATTAACAAAATTTGTACCGTGGTTTCTAGTATACAAGGTAATTTCATTATAATCACTAATTCATACACTTATCTTGAGGATTATAAAGTGACTTAAAATCAAAACTCCAACTAATGTCTAATAGCTAGAAGATCAATCCAGTCTTTTCTAAACCTCACTTCATCCTTTTTTTCTTTTATGAACAACTGAGGTAGGAATCAAATAAAGCCTGATACAGTGTTCAGAGAAGAAGTAGTAAGAGCCACTATTGTTCCAAGTAGGTAAAACCATAAACATGGAGAGAAAAAAAAAAAAGACTAAAGGCATATACATAGTTATACATATATAGTTATTAAAGGTGTAATAGTTGATAAAAGATGTAATAGGAAGATAGGCTTAATAATTGATTTTCTTCTTTTACCTCATTTCTAAATTTCCTGTAATGTTATGGTTTATAAGTTAAGGAGATAGATCTTTTAAAATTCTTTGAAATTAGTTTTTAAAATATTAGGATTTTTGGAAACTTTCAAGCATTAAAACATTCTGAGGATGATATCGCAAAGAAGAGTGATATAGTAATAAAGACTGAATTAGTGAAAACAGTTTAAAGAACAAAAGCATTGAGAGTTCACCCCCCACAATACTATGTAGCATTTCTCATGATCTTTCAATTCATGAACTTTCAAAAACATTAAAAAATAAGAAAAAAATTTCAGAGGGTCACTGCTTTCTTGTTTGGGTGACAACAAGAAATATAATTACATTTTACATACAGAAGCAGGCTATACCTTTATTATGGTACTACATTTTTTGTACCTACATTGTAGATACTACATACTTTGCCTATATTTTGTATTTAATAAAGACTGGAAGATATTCACATTTATATCTCTATTTAGCATAGTGCACATGTGTAAGAGTATATCTCTATTTAGCATAGTGCACATGTGTAAGAGTATATCTCTATTTAGTATAGTGCACATGTGTAAGAGTATGTTTTGTATGTATCTAATAAACATGATCCAAGGATCATCTGCAAGGAGATCCAACCAGCCCATCTTAAAGGAAATCAGTCCTGAATACTCATTGGAAAGACTGATGCTGAAGCTGAATCTCCAATACTTTGGTCACCTGATGCCAAGAACTGACTCACTAGAAAAGACCCTGAGGCTGGGAAAGATTGAAGGTGGGAGGAGAAGGGGACGACAGAGGATGAGATGGTTGGATGGCATCACCAACTCGATGGACATGAGTTTGAGCAAGCTCCGGGAGTTGGTGATGGACAGGGAAGCCTGACGTGCTGCAGTCCATGGGGTCGCAAAGAATCAGACATGACTGAGTGACTGAACTCAACTGAACTGTGGAAGGAGGTTAGACAGGTAGCAGATGAGGAGGAATGTTCATTGTAATGTCCCTTCTTATTTCTGAATTCAGAATATATTTTATATTAAAAAGAAAGGTAAGATTTAAAGCATAACAAATAGAACCAAAGCAATACTTTTTCATGCAGGGAATCAACCTAGGATCTAGTGATCTGGGGGGAGACATCTGTTAGCCCATGAAATTTTATTCAGAATGTTTCTTTATATGTGCAGTCTTCTCAGAAGAGAGTCTGTAGTTATCAGATTCTCAAGAGGCTAATGGACAACTAATAAAGGAGGATTTCTCTAAAACCAATGCTTAGAAATAACCTCAGAAGTTGGTATTTATGGCACGTCATCCTTCTGAATTAATAGTATAGAAGATAATTTTAAAAATTTGAACTTAAAAATGTATTAACAAATAGTTTATATGTAGTCTTGTTTGTACCATTTCTCCTCCCAACTTTCTATAAATTAAGGAGCACACTGTTGCTTAATTTACAGCCAATTATGATATGGCCCAAAGGGGCTTAGTGAGTTAAAACACAGAATTCACAAGAAGCAGAAAGAAATAATTATTGTAGTCCTTACAAGTTTGTTTTGAATATATGTCCACATGTAATCTAGTTATTGATAGCATCTTTTGAAAGAGTTCAGTTCTTTCACTGTCAGTCATGGATGTATATTATATCTCTGTTAATAATACAAACTGTTGATAGCAAAATAGTATAATAAAGAGGTTAGAAGCTACCAGTCATATATGATGTTGGGTAATTCTTCTCTCTTTAAGTCTCTTGTTTCCTTAACTGTAAAATAGAGATAAAAATACTTCTTAGAATTGTTCTTATAACAATGTACCTGACTAAGGAAAGTATTTGATAAATGTTAGCTATTAGCTCTACTAGTCCCATACAGCAGCTTAAAAATAAATATTTGCTAAATCCTGAGAGATCATTTAATCTGTACTTTAGTCATCTTACATTTTAATCTATAAATTTTTGAAACGATTGTCAAAGATTTCATATCTCCTCTTGGATTCCCTTTTTATCTCACAGTGGCTTATTGACAGGGTCTTATATTTCCATACAGTTGTATTACTTCTAGAATCAAGAGGAAATACACCCAATCATTTTATGTAAAAAGGCAATAAAACAATCTTTAGTGCACCAGCTAAAATAAGAGTTTGAAAGAGAGTCTAAGGACCTTTTCAAATTTACCCTACACTGACTATCACCTCTGTCATTTCACCTCTCAGAGCCATAGAAACCTCATCCATGAAACAAGAATGATATCCACATCACACAGTAATAAGATACGCCTTAAAAATGGGTTATTAAAATAGTAAAATGGTGCTGGAATGACATAATATCCAAACGCAAAAAAAAAAAAGATCCATATCTATCATTATTTTAAAAAAGTAACTCCATGTGGATCATAGACCTAAATGTAAAAGCTAAAACTATAAAACTTCCAGAAGAAAACATAAGTAATTTTTGGGTTAGACAAAGATTTCTTAGGTATGGCACCCAAACCCAAAATCTGTAAAAGGACAAATCAATAAACTGGATTCCATCAAAATTTAAAACATCTGTTCTTCAAAAGGCAATGTGAAGAGAATGAAAAGACATGCCACAGACTGGGAGAAAGTACTTAAGAAACAAAAAGACATACAACTCCAAAAAAAAGGAAAAAGAGATAGTAACAAGTACTGGCAAGGATGAGAAAACTTTTGGAAAAGTTTCTTAAAATGGTAATCAATCATTTCCCTCATTATCCAGCAATTCCAGGCCTAGGCATCTACCTACTCAAGAGAAATGAAACACATGTTCACACAAACATTTGTAGCTGAATACTCAGAAGTATTTATAATAGCTCCAAAGTGGATGCAAACCAAATGGCCATCAACAGATACACTAATTGTGATATAGTCATACAATAGAATACTACTCAGCAATGAAAAGGAATGACCTATTGATATTTGGTGAGTGAAAGAAGCCAGATTCCCCCCCGCCCGCCCCCAATCATAGTGCATGATTTCATGTATATGAAACTCTAGAAAATGCCAACTAGCTTATGATGCCAGAAAGCAAAAGGGAGATTGCCTGTGGATGGAAAGCCATTGGTAAAGATTTAAAAGGGGCACGAGAATGTGCTCACTTCACCACAGAGGGAACTGTGGGCTGATGGACGTTGGTTTCACAAGTACACATGTGTCAAAACTCTGAATAAATGCATTGTACTGGGAGTCAGTTATACCAAAATAAAGCTGTTTAGCAAAAATGGTAAGCAGAATCTGAATTCAACTCCTTGAACCATCACAAAATATTCTGTGGGAAAATATGAGATTAAAATAACCCAAAGAGAGTTGCGGAGTGAGGCCCACCTCCACCTTGAAAGATACAAGAGTTCGCCTAGAGCCTAGAGAACCCGGTCGAATATAGAAAACGCGGCTTCATTTTTTCAGAAATCCGGTCTGGAAAACATCACCTTCACATCTTGGGGACAGACACTTTATCGGGTAACGCATCTGAATATATATGAGGGAGACGCCATACTCGAGGATTGTCCAGGGCAGCCGCGTCGACGCCGAGGGACCTCACGTAACAATTAAACCAGCTGCCCTTTCCCTCGCAGAAGCGCCTCGCTCTCTCCAGGCACGGCCCGGAGTGGGGCCCGCCCTCCTTCCCACCTGCATATTCCTCAGGAGCTGGAAGATCTCCATGGTGCGGTACACGATGTCTTGGACCGTCTCCTGCCCGATTCGGCAGAGCGATGCAGTGTTGACCTCTCGGGCCGCCTGCTGGGCCTGGGGCCCGGCGAAAGGCCCGGGCGCCATGCCCGATGCCGCCAACGGAGGGGTGGACATGGCGTGGCAGCGGCGTCAGGTCAGCAGGGCTGGAGGACAGGTGTCGGGTATGTTCCCCGACGCTGCGCGGCCTCAGGCCTCTGCGTCAACAGGAGCTAGTAAGACCTGGGCGGTCTGATTTCAAAACAGCGGCCGCGACTTCCGCCACGGTGACGTAGCGCGTCGTCAGACGTCACAGGGCCCGCCCACTTGGCTGGTCCCTGGGAACCTGTGGTTCAAGGACAGTCGGGATTGGACTGGACGCGCGGGCGGGTCGGGTCGGACATGTTGAGCAGCCAATCACCGGGTGCACTCCAGACAAGGGGTGGTGCGCAGGGTGGAAGGCAGGTGGGCTATCCACAGTCCGTTTCCCAGTCTCAGCCAGTGGTTAAAATTCTTAATAGGACTCTGACTTCGTGTTCATTTCCTTGCTGATTATTGCCTTGTCACGAGCCCACGACGTTTGTAGTATTACTTTCCTTTCACAGCTGGAAGGCAGACAAGCTTTCCTGATCACGGAAAGTATAAAATTAACACTTCTGTCTCTCGTGGCATACAATTCCTCCACTTCCTTCCCTTTTCTGACTTTGGCACTATGTTATATATAATTTTCAGTCTGTTTTCTTTCTGACTTCTCCTTGCTTTATTCACACACACCAGTTATCCTGGACTAAAATTCAAAGTTAGCACTGCCCAACTGTGGACAAATCACATCAGCTTCCATGTAAAACCATGGGAGTAACCATCAGTTCAGTTCAGTCGCTTAGTCGTGTCCAACTCTTTGGGACCCCCGTGGACTGTGGCGAGACTTTCCTGTCCATCACAACTTCTGGAGCTTGCTCAGACTCATGTCCATCTGGTCGGTGATGCCATCCAACCATCTCATCCTCTGTCATCTTCTTCTCCTCCTGCCTTCAACATTTCCCAGTGTCAGGGTCTTTTCCAGTGAGTCAGTTCTTCGCATGAAGTGGCCAAAGTATTGGAGCTTCAGCTTCGGCATCAGTGCTTCCAATGAATATTCAGGGCTGATTTCCTTTAGGACTGACTGGTTGGATCTCCTTGCAGTCCAAGAGACTCTTAAGAGTCTTCTCCAACACCACCGTTCAAAAGCATCAATTCTTTGGTGCTCAGCTTTCTTTATAGTCCAGCTCTCACATCCATACATTACTACTGGAAAAACATAGCTTTGACTAGATGGACCTTTGTTGGTAAAGTAATGTCTCTGCTTTTTAATATGCTGTCTAGGTTGTTCACAGCTTTTCTTCCAAAGAGCAAGCATCTTTTAATTTCATGGTTGCAATCACCATCTGCAGTGATTTTAGAGCCCAAGAAAATAAAGTCTCTCACTGTTTCCATTGTTTCCCCATCTGTTTGCATGAAGTGATGGGACCAGATGCCATGATCTTCATTTTTTTGATGTTGAGTTTTAAGCCAACTTTTTCACTCCCCTTTTTCACTTTCAAGAAAGTTTTTTAGTTCTTCTTTGCCTTCTGCCATAAGGATGGTGTCATCTTCATATCTGAGATTATTGATATTTCTCCTGGCAATCTTGAATCCAGCTTGTGCTTCATCCATCCCAGCATTTCGCATGATGGGAAACCTTTGGAATTGTTGATAGTATTAAGTGAGATTCTGAATATAAAATACTTATAGTTCAAAGCATAAGTATTCAATAAATATGCTCACATGTATAACAGTGAGAAGAAATAGGTAAAGTTAGAAGTAAGGAATAAAGTTGTCCTAGGACAGAGGCAATAGGAATACTAAGGGACAGAAACAGGAAAAGAAGGCCATAATAACAAAGTTGACAATAGCCTGTGAGATTGGAGGAAAATCAAGATAATATCATACCATGGAAGTCACAGGAAGCACAGGTTATTTCAGAAAGGAGCTCTTGGTGAAAAGTGTCAGATACTGCTGCAAAAGGAGGTATCTTAATTTAAAGAATAGGAATATTCAGTGGAAAATTCTTGCCTGACATCCTGTTCAAAAAATGGTGAAGTGAGACAGCAACTATGTATTCAATCCAAGAACTATGCTGCCCTTTTCCTTTGCAACAGAATATCTGATTTTAATAGACATCAGGGTGAAAATATGTCTCAGTCTTCATTACATGTTGGCAAGGCTGTTTTACTGGGTCATAGCCAGTGGGTTAGAAGCATGGGTGACATGTGAGGCTATTGGCAGTTACGTCTAAAAGAAGGGAGCCGTCTGAACAGCATGATAACCAATGAAACAAACAGGCACCTGTGGAATGGGAGAAAATTATTTTGCAAGCCATAATATTCACATAAGGGGCTAATATCCAAAATATATAGGAACTTATACCACTAAATAGCAAAAGGATAAATAATTCATCTAAAAATTTGGCAGTGGCTCTCAGTAGATATTTTTCTAAAGAAGATGTAAAAATGGCCAAAGAGTCCATGGGAAAATGTGCCACATCACTAACCATCAGGGAAATGCAAATCAAAATCACAAGGAGATATCACCTCACAGCTATTAAAATGGGTATTATCAAACATAAGATGTAAGAGTTGGCTACAATGTGGAGAAGGGAACCTTTGTGCACTGGTGGTAGGAATGTGAATTGGAACAGCCCCACTGTGGAAAAGAGTATGGAGGTTCCTCAAAAACTTAAAAATAAAACTACCATATTATATAGCAATCACACTTCTGAGTATATATTCAGAAGAATTGAAATGAGGATTTCAAAGAGATATCTACATTCCCATGTTCATTGCAGCATTATTCACAATAGCAGAGATGTAGAAATGACCCAAACAGTCATCAACAGATGAATGGACAAAGAAAATGTGATGTGTGCCTGTATTTCAACCTTTAAAAAGAAGCAAATTCCATCCCTTGTGATAACAAGGATAGACCTACAAGATGTTATGCTAAGTTAATTCAGTCAGTCACAGAAGATCAAATGCATCCATGATTCATCTTATATGAGGGTTCTAAAATAGTCAAATGTATAGAAGTAGATAATAGAATGTTGGTTACTGGGAATGGAGACAGAGGTTTATGGGGAGTTGTTCTAATGGATAAAGGTTACAGTTATGTAAGATGAGAAAGTTCCAGAGATGTGTTGTACAATATAATAGGTATAGTCAATAAGATATTGTATACTTTAAAATGTGTTAAGAGGGTTAATCTCATATTGTATCCTTAGCACATACACACACACAACCCCAAAGGGACACAAGGAAATTGCTGGAGGTGATGAATACATTTATTACCTTGATTGTGATGATGGTAAAATGAGTATATACATATGTCCAAACTCACCAAATTGTGTACATTAATTGTGTGCAGTTCTTTGTATACCAGTTATTCTTCAATAAAGCTTGAGAGGTGGACAAAAAGAAGAGAGCCTACGATTTCTCCTTCCAACTGGAATTCAGACATTGTTGCTGCAGCTCAAATGAGCTCTTATTTGGGGACATTTTTTGTCACATGTGACTGAATCTAATTCTAGCTGCTGAAGTGGCAACTTTGGAGTTTGCCCTGAGCTCCATTTAGCTCTTCCTGATTCCAGCATAGGTTCTCCTAATACAATGATTTACCGCCTCTCCTTTAAATGATCCAAAAAACAGACCAGAGCCCCTTTTGACCTGGTGCATCATCCCCAGTGGTGCCACAAGCTCTTGTGTAATTTCAGGAGTGGAGTTAGCTTTGCTTCTGTTCTCACAGAAAGTGCTCACCTCTGCACTTTCTAGTACCTGGGCATGCTCAGTTGTTCAGTCATGTACAACTCTTTGAGACCCCATGGACTGTAGTTTGCCAGGCTCTTCTGTCTGTGGAGTTTTCCAGGCAAGAATCCTGGAATGGGTTGCCATTTCCTCCGCCAGGGGATCTTCTTGACCAAGAGATTGAACTCCCATCTCCATCTCCTCCATTGGCAGGTGAATTCTTCACCACTGAGCCACCTGGGAAACCGAGCACCTAGGAAATGAACAATTCTGGGATGTTTTGTGGAGTTAGGACACTGTGCTAGTCGGATCAAAGGTTACAGGTCACTGTTGTTAGTCTGAACCTAAAAGCCAATATTTGAGAGTACACTGACTGGAAAGCAGTGGACACTCAGGGTAGGGAAGAGAGAAATATAGATTATGAAAAGATATAATGGAAGGAAAACGCTTCTCAAGTCAGCACAATGGAAACCAGATTTGCATTGTCTTTACATAGTTTAGTGGGCTTAAGCTGGTCTATAACCCGTTTCACTCCTAAACTCTTACACTTTTCATGAACACACACGTGCCAGAGAAAAGCTTCAAACTAACCTAGGGACATTTGGAAATTTTACCACATAGGACCTAGCAAATCAAAGGATTGGGTGTAAACCATCATTGACATGACCTTGGCCTGCCAGTAGTGATGTTGAAATGCCCATTTGTGCACAATTTATTCATGACTAATAGACTATATTTTTCACTTCAGCCACTTATGTCAAGAATATTCCCTCTGGATACAGAATTATTGAATTTAAACAAACACTTATTGGGCACCTATAATTGGTCCAACTAACAAGCATTTAGGTTGATTTAGCCTATTGCCCACACCTAATTAGTATTCCAATTTAACAGACTATGCTAACTTGTCCCTGAAGGTTCATTAGTAAAGGTTTTCTTTGCTTCATAAATGCTCAGTTAGAATTCCATACTTAAGAAATGCATGAATTAAGTCACCACTTCACACTGAAGAATGGTTCCTCCCCCAAGTTTAGAGACCTTGTGTGACCTGGTCAACTGTTTTAGGTGTTTAAGCACTTAATGTCTCTTTTTTCCCTAGGTGTCACATGTATCGCCATCCAAAGTCTGCTATTCAGACACATTTAGCAGGGATCAGGAGATGTTTGTAAACACCATTAATGAGAGCATGAGGCTTTAAATAAGCAACCATAGTTTGGGATGGAAAAGCTCAAGCTGTGTATGAGTTTGCCTATTGTTTGTAGTGGGTTGTCTCACAATTACATAAGCTGATAATGGTTGATGGTTATTCTTTTGTTGTGCTTGAAGTCAATATTCTACTGTTTTTTGAGTTGTATGGCCATCAAACAAACCAGCAAAAACTTATTATAAGGGCTTTGTGACTATTGATTACAACTCAAGGTGAGTTGTAAGTGAGACAGAATAAAGTAAATAATTCACCTGTCAAAATTTTCATTACCCTTGTCT